CCTTTATTCCCTCCCCGTCCGACTGGGGGGGGGGGGGATGTTATTCCTTATTTTACAGCAATCTGCACCAGTTTCGGAAATAGATTTCTATTTTCTAAACAACCAGATCTCCCTTTTGAGCTTTCGTAAAGAGAATCTTGTACTGATTTCTCTCTCTCCCAAATATCCATTTCACTAACTCACCAATATCAGCTTATCATATGACAATATTTCTTTATGAACAGTAGCTTTTAAGAATGAAAACCATTAATTACAGGAAAGAGAGACTACCATATTTGGAATGGCCTAAATTAGGCTTCATAATGAAGTTTAATACAAGTCAGAGGCAGCACTGGCTTGTAAAAAATCCCAGTTCGATCCATGCAAATTTATTTCCTCCACTCAATCCCTTCCTCCCTCTCTCCAGTTCTATACTGGAATCCATTAGCACAGATTTTCTGCACCCATGCAGAGCTCTAATGAAATCAATGGAATTCAGCACAGGCAAGGAGGGAATTAGCCCTACTGGATTCTGATGCGAGATGGGAGCCACAGCAGTTTTTTAATGCTAAGACTTCAAAGCAGATTAATGAAGGAATGAAGGAAAAAGATCAAGATTAGATAGCAAGCTACAAATGATTAGTATTAATCATCACAGGACAGATCAGAGCAGAACATATGTAACATTTCAAAACATGCAATACATACGCATGCATTAGTGGAGGAAAGTAACATTAAAGAGAGAAAAGCAAGCACAGCCTAACTAACAAGTTGGAAAACTACTTATTGTGTGTGTGTTATTCAAGATGCTGTCAAACAGGGATCAGGGCCCTGTTTAAAGGAATTATTTTTTTTAAAACTGCCGTTTAAAACTGGAAGGGATATAAGCACTTCTGCAAAACTACAAGAAAAGCAAAAATATTTCTGCTTTTTGAGCAACTTTACCATATCTTGGTTGTAACATTAGAAACACTGGCAGAGTTCTCTTCACAAGACTCACATTCTTCAAGCCCAGGTGCAAACAAGAGTGAGTCTGTGAACAGGGATCAAGGTTTAAAAGGATAATGAAGAGCAGAGTGTGGGGGGGAGAGAAAAAACAACCCATAAAGGAACATGATGAAGAGATGGTAGTTTTGAAAATAATCACCTTTTTGCTTTCTTGCAAGAACAGGGCTGCATGAAGAACCCCCTCCAGCTGCAAATCACAGAAAGTAACAAATCAAGGTAAAGAACAGAGCTGCTGAATCAAAGTGGAATTTTAAATAGATTCAAAGGCCTTAGAAAATTATATTATGCCAGGAAGTTGTGAGAAACATTATGCTTTTACGGCTTCCGATTCTTGTTTGGTAATCTCTCTCTACATGTTGCACTTCAGTGTTGCTCTATTACACTCCATGAAAGTAAAACTGGAGTTATATATAATTTAATTTTTTTTTCAAACCGTTGTGTGGTGGTAACTGTCCTTGGTTGATAAATTACATTTTAATAGCATCAAATTTATAACTAGGGTTCTACCTAAATTGCAACGGAAGTTTGTGGCACAGTGGCGCCTCGAATCTTGCCTCCCCTCACCACTGAGTGGCAAAACCTGAGGTACTAACTGCCTCTCAGCCACTCAGTAACTGGGGGAAAGGGGCACACGTCAAAAACAGCAAGGTTCAAGGCGCCACTGTGCCATGAACTTCCACCACGAGTTAAATAGGTCCCTGTTTATAACAGATCAGAATGTTCCTTTTTCTGTCTAATGATAGAAGGTTAGTCCAACAAAGTTTTTAAAAGCAATCCAATCAGGGATTAAATATTTTGATTTGAAGAAATTAAGTAGCAGTTAAGCAAATACTTAAATTTATATATACATATATTAAAAAGGCCATGCACAGTATAGGCAAGAATATCAAAATTAAATCAAAGTAACAAACAAGCTTAATAGTTATGGTTTGCACTCTCAGTGATTTTGATTCCTATAGCTACACAGTTGACAACAAACTCAAAATTATTCTAGATTTTATCAAGATCAGTCTTCTACACATCACAGCTGCCTTACAAAACACTGCAAAAAGAATATCAACTTTTTCATTAACTGATCAATTAACGTGGAACTCTTGTACCTTTTAGGTAGGCAAAAAAAAATAATATATCTATATCTATATCAGTGTAGTCTGTTATATATCTATATCTATATATATCTATATCTATATCTATATATCTATCTAATAAGATAAATATATATATTATCTATATCTATCTATCTATATCTATCTATCTATATCTATCTATCTATATCTATCTATCTAATAAGATAAATATCTCTCTCTCTCTCTCTCTCTCAGTGTAGTCTGTTTTGTACTTGTGATTAACCCAAACTCAACATCTTTCTTTATGCTTTTGGAGATGACTGGTTATTTACAGAAGTGATGCTAAAAAAAAAGTTATATAAAAGTTCCATACAGAGTTTTATGAGGGCTTAAAACTTCTTAATGACTAGACAAATTATGAATAGCCAACAACATGCTGACCTTAAGCAGACATCAGAATTATACTTTACCTATAAGTTCCACTATGCTCCCGCTGCGGCTCCTGCTGCTAGACTCATCTTTGGATACACTGACCTGCGCAATGCCTCCCAAAGTGGTCAGAGCGTGGAGGAGATCAGGAGGGGGTGTTCTAAAAAGTTGCTGCAATAGTTCTAAAGCTCCAGTCACAACATTGTGGTCCTGATGCTGAGTGTAATGCAAAGTCAATTCATAAACCTAGAAATGAAAGAAATCTTAGTTTTAGTCTATATAGGCCACTATACTACCCTCTTCACCATGGTCTCTGAACTGCTTAATGCTACTGAACTCCTAGAAGCTATCCTTTTCCAAAAGGAAAATCTAGGTGTGCAACTGGCATTTTGTTTTTGTGAATATATGTATAGATACACAGATATAAGGGCAGATAAAAAAGGTCCCCCTGCACTTGGAACAGAAGATGGAGTTTACAATAATGTTCCTGTAAGTTCAGTAATATATAATAATCATAACCACTACGCTATGGTACCACCATCCCCGCCCCCCTCAGGTGTGCCATAGCAGCAGCCCTTTTGCATTACGTCTGTGATAAGCCTAAAGGAGGCAGAAGCTGGCTTAGCTGTAGCCCCCCTATACCCACACTACACCTGGGGACAGAGGCACATGAGGATGTTCCACCTCCGTGCCTCCGTTTCTGGGAGAAGCACAAAAGGAGCCAGACTGGGAAAAGGCTACAGCAAAAGGCAGCTTCTGCCAGCTTTAGGCTGATCAGGGCCCTAATGTGGCAATACTGTGCACTTGTACCACAGCCCTCCCCAGGCTGGCTGTATAGTAGGTGTGAAGCAACTGTAACTGGAGACAGCATAACCTGCTTGTGAAGTGAGGTGAAGCAGTAGCAAAAGTGGCTCTCAACTGGGGATGCGACCACATTCAAAATCAGTGGTGGAGGGGTACCTCAACTCAAGGTTGAAAACAGCTGTATTATACTTGGTTTATTACTCACCCCTACAAAACATTTCATCCTTCAATATTAAATCTGCCAGTCACTGGGCAGACATAATCAACCATCAGAACAACACTAACAAAGTAAACTTAAACTGTTAGCTATATAACAAATGTATTTGGTATACATTATAAGAACATTTGGTTTTAAGCTACTTCATACTTTGAAAGAGATATGGTAACTCATACCTGTATAAGCTGTTCTGGTGAAGGCGAAATCTCTGCTTCTTTACGTGTTACACCAAAGCTACCTTTCAGGCTAGTATCCTTTACTTGCTGCTGCAGTAAAGGTATGAGATATCTAAGCGTGAGTAATACACCAAGAATTAAAAGAGTGGGATGCTCATCTTCTACAGGAACCAACAAACCTGAAAAAAGGAAGGGAGAGGAGGGTGGAGGGGAAAAAAAAAAAAAAAAAAAAGTTACCATAGCTGACAGTCTTAGTAAAAAGGTTTTGTTTTCTACTCTTCCCCGCCCCACCACCAGCCCCACACACACTCCTTCCCTTGCCAGTTAAGTATATCACTAAGTTAACATAACTTTCTTAAAATCAGTGTACCAAGATGTAAAATCATAGAAAAGTAGGGCTGGAAAAGACCTCCAGAAATCAAATCAATCCATGCCCCTGCTCAAGGTAGGATCATCCCTAGCTGAACTATCCTATACAAAACGTCCGTCTAACCTATTTCAAACAAAACTGTATGAGTAACCCTATCACGCAACCAGGAGGCACCATTTCCAAAAACAAAATCAAGATCACCCCTAACTTACCACAGGTAAAGCAGGGGGATGGGAGCATGGTCAATGCCCTAACACTGAAAAGGTGATCTAGTTTACTTAAAATACACCTGAAGATCCTGAAAAGAGGACCACGCTCCCCACTACATAGGAAGGCAAAAAACCCCATGGTCCATGCCAATCTGACTGGGGGTTAAATTCCTTGCTAATCCCAAATATGGAAGCAATTGGTCTGAAGGCAAGTGGAGAAGTAAGACCCTCTAGCTAGGAAACTCCAGATTAGAGTCCCAGCAAGACTACCATTTTATAAATTACAGAAGCCTTATTAGGTCTTAAAAGTCAACTCAAGCTTCCAAGGGTTATTGAAGCTATTAGCTCTTCTGCCAAAAACTGGAATAAGATAATTAATACACACCCTCTTTGAATCTAGTAATCTATAAAATAGAGCAATTTAATGCCAAATCCATGATCCTACCAACAAAACATTTCACAGCACTAAATGGCTACTGGAGGAGGAGGTAAGCATTTTATGATAACTATGTAGTATTGTATAGGGAGTGAAAGATTCAGAATTCTTCTAAAAAAATTATAGGTGCAAGCTAACTACACATAGTTAAAATAGAAAAATGTAATCACCACAGGTACACAAAAGTAAAAAACGGTGGGGTTACATTTATCTAAATCAGGAATGATGAGTGGGATCTGCAAGCTTGATTTTTCTTTAAAAATGGACAAGGGAGTATGGTACAAGGACCACAAGCATCCATCAGGAAAAGGGAACAAGAAAATCAAGTTTACATTCTCCAGGCAGAGTCAAGGATATTTTACATCAGTGACTTACTTCTGCTACACAACCATGATTTCAAACATATATTTTGTAAGCCTTCTGAGATCCCAAGAGCAAGCCACCCTGCTCTCCCCTTGCTTTCAAAATTACTTTGCAATGATTCAAACAAATACTCTGTCATGTTTGATAGTCAGTGTTTGACGTATGTTCTCTATGCACAACTACTATAACAGTGATTTGTTTAAGAACTTTCATAAAAGGCTAAGTACAATTATTTTATTCTAGTTATTCTTTTCTGATTAAATGTACATTCAATTTTGGCTCCTTCACTTCACTTTAAAAGCATGTTTTCCCCCTCAAACTTCAGTTCCAGATGTTCCATCTCATTTTTCTGTTTTGCAAAGAGGAGCCAAATCACCACAGATGGCTCTAGATTTTAAAGTGTCCTTTGCAAAAGGTGATGAGACATATTTAAAAAGGTTCTCATTATGTTAATCCAATTTGCTACAATATCATAAAACCAGAATTGGCAACACCTAATAAGCAGGTTAGCTTTACCCATCAGCCTCTAATATCTGAAGAGTCTCTTACACAAACTAATTACTCTAATGATTTAGTTTGACACTTGTCCAGCCTATGTCTCCCAGGAGTGGTCATGCCTCAAGAAAGCAAAAGCATTTTCCTGTATCTTACCTAAAAGTACATTCAATAGCCAGGCATAAAAATATTGCGTTCTTCGTGAATGTTGGCAGATGCTCACTGCTGATCCTGCCGCTGTCCGACGGATGGTAGGAGAACTGGATTTAAGATTAGCTATGAAGGCCTTCAATAAAACCTAAAATTATTATGAACAATTAAACCAATATTCATATGAAAGAAAAAAGAAGCAGAAGTAAATAAAGTCAGGAAATGTTAAAGCATCAAAAGGGAGAAATTAACCCTGCTTCACTTTCATAAGCCTTAAATCAGAAAATGGTAGCACTGGAACAGATCAGACCAGCTGCATCAAGGCAGGCTTTACTGAGCCACCACTACACACTGACCCAGACCCTTCTTCAAAATTCTAAAAAATTTTTCTCCAAGCTTTAACCCAAATCTGCCTTCCTGTTTAAACCCAATGATTTGTTGTCCAACTCTCAGCAACATAGATCATTCACCATCTTCTGTCCATGTATTTTTGCTTTAACTATTTACATATGGTAGCTGTTACACTATACTCTAACATTTAACTGATATTACTGTTGACAGAATAACTCCACCACTTGGCATATCAGATTCAATATAAATTAACAGTTTAAATAATCTTACCTTAATTTCATTGTCATTTGCAAAGTTGCCAAAAGCAGCCATGATTTTTGGAATCGCTGCAGCTAATGTCTCTTGTACGGATTCTTCGGGCCGCTTACTTATTCTTGTTAAACACGGCAACAGGTTCACTAAATATGGCCTAGTTACAACAAGGGAAAAAATAATTATCAATTATTTTTTGCATGCATGTCTAATAGTTGGTCTGTCTCCAATCCATTCCTGAAGTTGAGTTTTGCAAGACAGTGCTAAATATGCTAAAGTACATAAAGTGGCAAAACTATAATACCATGCCCATGTGGGCGAGTGCAAGAGTTGTCATACTCATGTCAAAATTTAGAAACATTAAGTGGAAGTGAAAAACTATGCGACACTGAGGACCACTGACCTTGTGAGGGACTGTATGGAGCCCCTTGCTCTGAAATATTGATACTATAGGGCCTTTAAATGCTCTAACATTGATGGACTCAGCCACAGAAAAAGCTTCATAGGCTAGAAGTCAGGAGAGAGAGACCCAGATTCAATTCCAACATGCGCAGACAAATAAACTATCAGGGCCTTGTTACACACTGCACTTTGAGCTGCTGAAATGTTGACTGGTGCTAGTGCTAGCTCAAGTTTGGAGCAGTCACCTTCAATCTAAAAACTTTCTTGATAGCCCCTGACCTGTACATTTGTGACTTGCAACTATAGGGCATACAAGCAAAAGCCTGACTGGGAACTACTGTTGTGAGTTGACACAAAAGGACTGGTGAGCCAGGACAGGCTTCTACCCCTACTCTAGGTGGGGGGGGTATGTTGCAAAAATGGGTTTGGGGGGAGAGAACAGGAACACGAAGCTGGGAGGTAAAGCATTAATGGGATGGAGGTGGGTAATGAAATAGGAGGTAAAAGGAAATGGGGATGGAGGACGAAATGAAATCAGCCAAACACTGAACGATGAAATAAAAATAGAAAAAAGAAATAGAGGAATTAAATTAAAGAAGGCCTCATGTTTTAATAAACTGGGATTGGGATTAAGGTGTGGGGGTGCTGGTCATGCTTCCCAGGTGGTTGAGAGCTGCGAGTGGCGAGTGAAAATGCTTTTGAGAGAGCTACTGCCCCTGCCCTGGAAAAGAAGCCCCAGCTCACAGAGACCCTATCCAGCCCCCTACCTTGTTTCCCCCATCCTCTCTTTCCAAACCCCACTCCCAGACCCTTCATGCCCTGTGACATGTGCTCTGCTGGCTGTTTGCACAGGGTTGAACCAATGGCTGGAGGTGGGAAGGTCACATCCCCAGAGGCAAGACACAGAGTAGGCTTGCTGTCAGAACCACGTCCCATCCCTGGGTAGTAGAGTTCAGGGAGTGGAAAGTCTGTCCACAGAACAGGAAGGTGGTGAAGGAGACACTGCATCCTGTAATGTTGGAGGACTACATTTTGAGCAGCTCATCTGTGGAAAATGGCCACACATTAAATGGAACACAAGCCTGGTAACATGGATCAGAGAGTAAGCTGCTCTGGTATGACTTTAAAGTCACTTAAAGGGTCATCCCCAAAATGTCACGCTTGTAGTTTGTCCTTCATCCTTCAGGTTGTGCAGAGGATGAGGCAGCAGAGTTTATCAGCAAATAAGACAGACTCTGTGGTGTGCAAGCACTATCATGTAGAAGCAGGACCTCAGCCTCACTACCACCTAATTTTTAGGTCCTAAGGGAGCCAAAGCCATGGGCATAAAGGGCGTTCTTATTGCCTTCCTACCTAGAAGGGAGCCACAGCAAATCTGTATCAAGACCCTGGAGAAACTGAAACACTGCATGGAAAGAGCCCACCCCGACAGACATGTCTCAGGCACTGCTTCTGTGCAACAACACTCAGACAATAGCTGCCTGTTCAGTGATGACATGCAAATTCTCTGTAAAAGTACTTTTTTTTTTTTCTTTTCCAAGTCAAGTATTATTGAAAAAAAATTAAAGCCATTACTTTCTGACTGACCCTCACAGTTATCCAAAAATGGCAGGATTTCTAGGCAGAAAGCAGGGCAGAAGTGTGTCTTATAAACTAACTTCAGATTAACACAGCCACTTACCTCTTGGACTATGATTCCTAAGGAGTCTACTAAGGTTACATTTAAGTATGACAACTGGATCAATAGCAAAGGATACCAATATAAGCCACTGTAATGTGACTGTTATAGGCATGCTGCCAAAGAAATACAAGTGTAGCAAAATATCTAGAACAAATTAAGCTTCAACTCTGTTTAATTTGGAGTTGAAACTATAGCTTGCATCAAAAGGAGCATGCAAGTGTTAACAGTCACAGAATATCAGCTATCATGCTCCCGCCCAAAAGGAGCAGGTCTCCCTCTTCTTTTAAAGCAGTTATAAAGTACATTTGTCCACAGCATAGAAGACTTAGGCTAGGAACAGACATTCAGTTTCTATTAGTAAAATTCCCATTCTACTGGTAGAAACCAAAAGTGTACAGACATTCAGGCTTTTTCTCTGCGCAAAAGTGACCACTCTGGGACAAAAATAAACCCTGAAACAACCAGAATTAAAATTGCTCCCAGGAGAGTTTCTCGCAGGAGACAACGTCCATACGATTTCTCCTAGATAAATTTCTTCAAGCCAGAAGGAGTGGAACCGGGAAAAGGCTTCTTGCTCTACCAAGAATGGGGTCACTTAGTCTTGAAAAGGTGGAGAGGGCGGGTGTTCCCTCTTCCCGTAGACTAGGAGGTGAGAGGAGCAGCAGCCACCACTCCCTGATTCTTCCCTAGAACAAGCAGCCCTTGGTTTCAAGAAAAGGTAGGGGAATTTGCCAGCACCCAACAGTCACCACCCTGCTGCTCAGCTGATTAGCAGAGGAACAAGGGGAAGCCAGAGTGGCTGGTTGCCCCTAAGGCTTCCTTAACGGTAGGGATGGCCCAAGGATCAGCCCTCTACTGCCCCTGGCTGGAAAGCTTGCCTGTGAAGTTCTCCAGCCTTAGGGCTAGAGCAGGGGAGGGCAAGATACGGCCTGCAAGCAATTTCATCTGGCCCATGGGGGCCCACCATCTAGTTGTACCCCGCCCAGCCCAAGCACTTCGTTCCCACTCTCATGGGCAAAAGGGCCTGGCTCAGCCAGTACGCAGCTTCCGGGTGGGGCTGCTGCTGCCACTGCTGCAGCCACCATGGGACTGACTCGGCCTCCCTGGCATCCCATTCACTCTGGGCAACAGATAGGAAAGCGGTGGGGTGAGGGGGAGCTGCAGCTGGGCAACAGCATGGAGCTGAGGCTAATGGCAGCACACAGCCTGCACTCAGGGGGTGGCGGGAGCGCAGAGCTCAGGTGAGCAACGTGCGAGTGTGAGGGAGGGTGGGGAGCTGCGAGAAATGCCCCCCCACAAGCTCCCCTCCATGCCGCACAGCCCCTACCACTGGTGGCAGCAGCAGGCGACAGGCACTCAGGGACCACACAGGTGCTGCTGCCTGGCAGCCTGCAGCTCCGACCAGCGCTGCAATGGTAGCAAGGAACACAGCCAGGCCGGCCTGCCTTTTATCACGTGGGGCTCTGCACAGCACAAGTGCAGCTCCTGGCACTCACGCACCACTGGGGGAAGCCCCATGCAATAAAGCTAGATGCCTTTGCCACTCCCTGCTGTGCAGGTCCTGGGACTCCACTGGAGGTAGAGGGAAGTCCCACTGCCTGCTTCCCAGCAGAGTCCCAGGACCTGCACGGCACATGGCAGGGAAGGCAGCCCACACGCATCACCCAGAGAAGTGCCACAAGTGCCAGAAGCTACATGTGTGCTGCAGGGAGCCCCTCACAATAGAGGTGGGCTGACCTGCCTGTGCCCTTTGCCACCATGTGCAGCACTGGCAGGAGCTGCACACTGCTGGGTGGCAGCACCTATGCAGGCCAAGAGCACCTCAAGCACCCACTGCCTGCTGCTGCTGCCACCAGTGGGGGTTGTGGACCATTGGGGGGGGGGGGGGAGTGTGGGGGGACCCCACATCCCCCTCCCTCACACACCATAACCCTCCCACATACTCACAGCCCCCCAATATACCCTATTACCCCCATACACACACAGACACCCTCACAAATCCCCCATACTCACACACCCAACCACACCCTCCTTACAAAATAAGAGTCTTACTCTTGTATATTTTGGGGTTATTATGCAGTCACCTCTATATATAGTATGAAAATAACCATGACAAAAATATTTTTGTAATAAAATGAAATTAAAATGTGTTATGGTAGGCGTTTGACTTTTAGCATGATTTGTTTGGGTTTTTTTGGTTCCAAGATAGCAATCCCCCTCCCCCCTCAAAGGAGTACTTCCAGGGGCGAAGGGAGGGACTTCCGGTGGCCAAGGTCAGGGGGAGGGACTTCTGGTCCCAAGCTGCCAACCAGGGCGCAGGGCACCTGATAAGGGGCGGGGCTACCCTTGACAGCTTATCAAAACTCATTAAGCAGCCCTCCAGCCAAAATAATTGCCTGCCCCTGGGCTAGAGAAATGTCTGTACAATTTGGCTCCCAAGCTATATTTCTGACAGAAGTTCCTTCCAGTAGAAATGAATGCCTATATACAGCCTTAAATCAACCGAATCCCATTAATCTGAGGCAGGAGTTTTTAAAAAACAAAACCATGACACCTAAAGTTAGACACAAATTAAGTGCTCTTCCCACCAATTAAACTGCATTTATTTTTTCAGTATGATGTTTGGACATGGTAAATAGTTATTACTGTTTCCACATACCACAATTATGTCCCAAAACATGCTGGGTAGAACACGTTTACCTGCACTTCTGAGGCCTAACCAGATGAGCAAGCTCAGCAAATCGCCAGAGTGCAGCTCGTAGACTTCGGGAAGCACCATTCTAGAGAGAGTGGTCAATTTGTTACTTTTCAGCAAGCAGAAACACCCTGCATAACTGGACAGCACTGCTGTGATTTCACATGGATTTTACTAAAAAGAGCAATGCAGTTCCCAAACAACTAGCATTACAAAGCCCTACTACAGCCTCTGGACAAGAAGCAAAATTCAAAATACAGGCTAAACCCTTCCCTGCTTTAAAGATGGAACAAAAAAAGTCCAAAACTGCATTTTCCTGGTCGTCTCCTAGAGTTTAACCAGATGTCTCTTGCACATGGCCAGCAGTGAACAAAGGAGACAGACGAGTGAATGACTCATATCTGCACCAGTGATATCAGCTCCAAAATAAGAAAGCGTGCATCCACAGACAACAGCAAAGCAGAGTTCTTGCTACTTATTCCTTCTCATGTATTTCATGGGACTATTCACTATGCCTATCCATGCAAAAGAAATAAGGAGAGCACTATTTCTGAAACCCAGGCAGAGAGGCCCACTAGACAAAACTACTCAAAACTCAGGATAAAAGGAGTAGACTTAATTTTTTTAAGTAAAAATTAACACTCTGGTAAAGAATTGAAGCCAAAAAAAGGAGCAGATGAGCATCACATATTTGTTTGGGGGTTTTGTGTGCGTCACAATAAGGTTCATCCATTTCAACTAGACTATTAACCTGTCATTAACAGCATAAAATATTGAAAGAGCGGAGTAGTTAATGTGATAACCAACCGTTTAAAAGTCTTTGATTATTTCCCACTCCTGTAAGTAATATTTCTTTTCAAATGCAAATATTTGCATACACAGACTACTAAAGATTAAAGAACACCTAACATTATAACATGGAAAATAACAATGACAGACTTGCATAGAATTATGCAGAACCCTCGACTCTTTGGCAGAAGAGAACGACTCATGTCCCAAAGTAAATGTTTGTTTTGCCTAGCCCTAGACCATACTCCAGTGAGTTATACTTCTCCAGCATTTCATGTGAAACGGAATAAAACAATTAATATTGATGTGTCTAACCAACATTCTATGTTATTTAATGCCAAATATTTACAACAGAAAAGAAAAAAGAACTAAGCTCACCTTTTTAATCTCTTTGTAGAGTTCCAACTGTAACCTCGGAAGACTGGAATCCATCAAAGCCTGTAATAAAAATGCATGGAGAGTCTGTTGTACCATAGTAGAATGTACTAGTCAACAATATTATATAGTAGTTTTAACAGCTGTTTCATTACATATAATCTGACCAGGCACCTATTTGCAATATTAGGAAGAGGAATAGTGCATTTGGTGGTGTATGACATTCTTCTTTAACAATGCTTTTTCGCTACAGACAAAGAAAAAAAGAGACAAGTGTATTCAAAGGAAAAGAGAAAAAAAATGTTCTGTACATTGAAAGGGAGAGAAAAAAGACACAGAAAGCTAAGTCTTTCAGTTACTTTGCCAGGAAATACAGCATTTTCTAGGAAGCCTGTGTGTAGTGTCAAGAGCATTTAAATGTAAAAAGCAACAGAAGGAAAAAGACAGCTTCCATACCCTACAGTGTTGAGTGACCTCAACCTAGACTAGAACCAAAAATGTTCAGCAGTTTACAAATTCAGGTCTGAAGTTACTTACCTAAAGAGGGAAGATTTTAAAGGCATAAAAAGAAACTGAAATATAATTCTTGGAGAGAGTGCCATTAATAATTACACATTACAGAGATCTAATTCCAACTCTGCTTTACTAATAAAAGCATTTTTTTAAATGATGTTTAATTTACAAACCCACTAGAAAGAGAGTAGTAAGAACGTCTAAATGTCTCTCTCCTGCCTTGAACAGGGTGATTGAGCTAGATGACCTTGTGAGGTCTCTTTCAGCTCTATTTCCTTAGATTAAATGTTTTCTAAGTTTACTATGCAAATTAAAAACAAAACTTCTATTTATTGCTAATGAAACATTGCCCCTCAGTTGTGGACGTTTTTTTCCAAACTCAGTGAAATAGATCCCCGAGTTCTGGCTTCTGCCCTGCCCTCAATGGGGCAGAAGTTATGCCCTTGGGAAGAAGAAACTAGAACTGGGGTCTCTTCTCCCTGGTTAAGTACTCTAACCACTAAACTAAACGGTGGGAGGGGCGTTCCTCTTCCTCTGCTTTTTCCCCTTACCCCAGGTTAAATATTCCCCAAGGGAAGACTTGTAAGTGCCACTTACATGTGCTACTTACCTGTCTAAAGGTAAAATCAGATCTGAGCCATTTTATCTTACCGCAAAATAGCATTTCCATGATGCAGTCAAGTAGGCCTGATTTGAGCCTGGATACTTCCTATTATGTTGCAGCCCACTTATAGTCTGCTTCTCTGCAGACCCCATTTCCTTAGAGACTTCATGTTAGCTCTTTAAAATTCCTGACTGCAAGCCACAGGGATTTTAGGCTCGAATCCCCTTAATATTTTATTAAGAGTGCAATGTCAAAACATAATGTAACTAGCGTACAGCCAATTTTTTCCAAAAAAGATAAATGGACAGCTATTTAAAGATGACTTGCAAAGTCTGTCTCAAGTTTATTCATTTTTCTATGAAATTCTTTGCAAAAAAACCCTGCATGGAGGTAAGCTAGAAGGCACCTTTAAACAAAGGAAACTGCATCCATACTGGGACTTGCACCTATACATATAGCTATTTTGGTTAAAAACAAAAGCCAAAAGTTAAAACAATTATTCTTATGAAAGAAAAAGCTGAGTGCAAACTAGTATACAAATTTAAAATAGAACCCTCTCTCCTCTACTGCCACACTAAAAATAATGTGACAGGCATCATTATTTGCATGCTTACATATATAAACTGCCTTCACTTCTCTATTCACACTATTTATACACTGCACATTGTTTTGGTTCAAGACACTAGGCTATTTCCTCCTATTATAAGGAGTGGTAAGAGAAAACACAACGTAGGAGCTTCACAGATAACAGTCAGCAATTAACTTGTCCATAGCATTGTTGATACACAGTAGTTGATGAAGGAATGGTTGCAACCAAAAGGCAAACTCCGAGTGACAGGCAGTAGATAATTCCCCTCCCCTTAGACTTGAAATGATGCATGTCAACACTGGAAAAAAACAATTAAAAGGAGGTTTACAGGTCACCTTTACGAGCACCAGAGGTTTCCATCACCAGGTTAGTGAAAATAAGGTTAGTTTTGTACAGAAATTACAAAGTGACAAACACCAAAGAACTCCGTGGGGAGAAAGTAAGGAAGGTAGGTAGAAGTTGCTATTCTTCATAGATTTTGCCATAAATTGTAGAAAAAGAGAGTTTCAGATTGTAATGCAAGGGGGTATTTCCCCATTTCAATTTATAGATTGATACTCTGCAACAGTTGGGAATAAAAACGATTTAAAAGAGATGAAAGGACATTCAGGAAAAGAAAACTTAACACTTTCTCCAGCCTATCCATTCTGACTCAGTGAGGATTAACAATAAATGTTGCCAATACCCTGGCCAGCCAGCCATGTTGGTCTTCCAACTTCTACCCCAATAACACAGTCATGCTTCTTTCCTTGGCCTAGACATCCACTACTGGAAACAATGTAAATGAAGCCACTCAGTATTTATACTATCATCATACTAAAGAACACTATTCTTCTCTCAAATACATGCCTTAGAGTGAACTGGAATTATGGGAAATGGATAGTGAAATGACTATTAGAGTATGGCTTCAGACAGAACACCACATTAGAAAAAAGGACAAATCTGATAAAATATACACATTATATAGTTCTTACTTTTATAACTTTATTGAGACACTCATCAGCAACCATCCTGACATCAGACTCTGCATCATCACTGCAGAGAAGAAAGAGTTCCATTGCAATTCCCAACAGTTTCTGAAATTCTGGAGAATTTCTGAATTGTATATGAAAAAAAAAAAAAGAAAAAAAAGAAAGCGTTAACATGCTAAAGAAGGAAAAATTACATTATGGGAAGTTACTGTTTATGAAAGATAACAATGGACTTTAGTCTGTGTCTTCCTAGCTTTCATTTTTTACTTTTGAAAGTTTGGAAATAGTTTTCTTTTTACTACGTATGCTATCCTTTTGTAATTAGCAAAAATATATTACTCCACACAATGTTTGGAGCCTAGGAAAAGCCAATGATCCTTCATATTATTTACAGACCCCAGACATTACAAAGATCCCAAAGAAACATCACCTGCTGTATCAGAAGTAGCATGTTAATTGCTGCTACAGAGTCCATAAAAAGTATAAAATTTGTTGTAGGTCCCTACAAAGCCTGCTGAAGTCAAACCCTGATGTACCTTGTGTGAAAAGAGGTGGTTAAATATTTAAAAATGAATACTGATTAAATGTGGAAGCTGTAAAAAGACTTCATGAAAACTTTACCCACATTGCTAAAATTAATTTTTAAAAAAATGTCTTACCTTAAAGATTGAGTAACTATATTTTCACATATCGTCAGGCAGTGATTCACTCGATCTTTCTTGGTAGTTGAAAGTTCTTTCTTTCTAAAATTAAGAAAAAAAGCACTGTAAATAAAAATAAGCCATAAAGTCTCAAAACAATTACTGCCAATTTGTGTGGCATGACCATTTAAATATCACCTTAAGTTATGCTGGTGTGTAAGGGTCAACCAAGGACAAAATGCCACACACTAGTTACTTTCCCAGTAAAAGACAGCCCACACCCAATGGCCTTTGCATACGAAATATGCAAGCTATACCCTTTTGCACACATGCAGAACACATAGTGTGGTGGGGAAAAAGTCACAATTCCACAATTTTTATTCAGGGAGGGTGCCATAGGAAGAAGATAATCTGAATTTCAAAAAAAAAGGAAAGGAAGGAAGGTAAAGAGAAGCATGTGCAGCAAAGTGGAGATAAGAGACAGCGAGCAGGACAGCAGGACAGCCAAATTGCAACAAAACACTGTTTCACAAGATTCAAAACAAAATAAAAACAAAAAACAAAAGAGAGAGGTAGAAGTCATCATTGTACGCCACTTCACCACCCTCAGTGGCTTACAGTGAGACAACAAGCTGTAGCACAGCACTACTCCAATGGCTTATGTCTAGTATGGTAATATCTAAAGATATTAGAATTTAGTCAGTATTTACTGCTGCTTTCTGCACATACAAGTTGCAAGAGACACTGCATGACCCAAAAACTTAATTTAAGCCATTCTGCAGTAAAACACGTATAAAATGCAAAGGGACTAAGTGAAGGCCATTAAAAAAAAAAAAAAAAAAAAATTACAACTGCTGTGATTTTCCCTTTAAAATTACAAGATTTACACACAGTCCATTTCCGTAGTTTTCAACCGGGCAGCTGTTTGCTTCCCCGAGGCCTTAATTCCAACAAGGATGGGAGCTATAACAAGCAAGCAAATCTACTTGACGGGCGTGAACAAAATCAAGTTTGATGGCAAAGTTTTTCTATTAATTTCTTCTTCCCTAGTAGGGACTACAACTTAAGAAAATAATCTAATTTGTCACCTCCCAACACTTACGGATAGGCTTATGGATAGGGGTACACCATTAAGATTTTTTTGGCCAATATCAAGGCCCGATTATTAACCAGCTGTATCATCTACTTGACGGGCGTGAACAAAATCAAGTTTGATGGCAAAGTTTTTCTATTAATTTCTTCTTCCCTAGTAGGGACTACAACTTAAGAAAATAATCTAATTTGTCACCTCCCAACACTTACGGATAGGCTTATGGATAGGGGTACACCATTAAGATTTTTTTGGCCAATATCAAGGCCCGATTATTAACCAGCTGTATCAGCTGATACCAATCCAATAGCCAATATGCAGCCTGGCAGCTTGGAGAGCAGCGTCCAGCCAGCAAGTCTATGTGGGGAAAGGGGCATGGGGGAGAGAAGGGGCGTGGGAGTGGGGCAGATCGAGGCCCCCATGGTGAGGGAAGGAGTGGGGCTGGGGCAGGCACTGCTGGGACAGGATGCAGGATGGAGCTGCAGATGGCTCATCTGGGAGGCATGGCTCCCACCACTGTGTGCACCCTGGAGAGGCATGGAGGGCATGTGTCCCCTGGATTTGTGCACAGGGCGAGGGCAGGCTGCCTGCTGCAAGCAGGGGCTGCACTCGGGGCAGGCAGTAGCGGTGCTGGGAGGGGTGGCTATGGGGTGGGCTATGGCCACCCCAAAATTTCCCGTAGCCACCCCTCACCAGCATGCCCCCTGGCCCGAAGCCCGCAGTGGGAAGCCTGCTCTCACCCCATGCACAAATCCGGGGGCACATGCCCCCCATGCCTCCCCTGGGGGTACGCACAGCAGCAGAGAGCCACTCCCCTACCCCCCCCATGCACGCAGCTACACTGGCCAAAAAAGCTAATTGCCAATAACGTCAATTTTCCTTTTATCGGTGTCGATCCAATACAGACCAATATACTGCTGCACCTCTACTTATCGGTCAACTACTATAATTGTTTTTATAAAAGACAACAGTTTATATTCATTTCAGCTGTCCTACAATGCCATTTCACAAATGTGTGACCAGCCAGGTCTTCAGGCAAGTGATCCAGCAACTCAAAATGTGAGAGTTGCTCCTGTAATATTCCTATATCACAAAGTATTTAACCCCCCCACCCCAAAGCAACCACTCTCAAAAATGGCCAACAACTCCAATGTATTCGCTGTACAGCGGGACAATCATTTTGTGACTTAAGGACCGAAAGAACTATTCTACTTGTGGCCTAAAAGATTTTAGCTCATTTCCAAAGCTGTTGTTTCTTCATTAACAAACTTAAAAGTATTTTATTTTCATTCTCTATTCTAATATTATAAAAGCCCAAGTCTGTCTCACTTTATTCGTGCTCCGATTAGCTGACAAAGCCAATCAGAGCACAAAGAAGCATTCTGACAGAAGGCAGCCTGCCACCATGATGGTGGGGACACAGGGGACTGGGGGGGAGGGGGGGGGAGGGACAAGGCCCCCCCTCCCTGCTTCCAGGAGGCAGCAGCAACAGAGCAGACCCTCCATCCCCGTCCGGTCACCACCCACCCCCATCATTCTTGACAGGAAATTTGCTAGTATATGTATAAAAGTAAAGATGCTGATTACAGTATGGCCATATTTTTACCTTGGCAGCAACAGCACAAGTCATGTGGTATGGCCAAGTTACAGCTCTAAGTAACATCTGGGATCCATCTGTAACAACTTGCCTAGCGTAAGTCATTCTTCCTTCCTAATCAAAATCCTTTGTAAGTTGTACTACAAATGCAACAGTCTAAGGGTTGATTAAAAGAGAGGAAAAGTGATTTTTAAAGGCACTTTCATGTCTACAACAGAAGTCAGGCACACAAAAGAAAATTCCAAGTTCAAAGTGTGAAAAGGGTAACATGGGATAAAATGCATTTCGTCCTGTACATGACTGAAACTATGATGTAATAACCAACAGCTCCTTAAAAAAAAAAAAAAAAAAACACAAATCAAGTAAGAAAACAGACACTGCTGAAATAAGCAGATCCCATGTTAAAGCTAGTCAATCCATTTTTCCTTCTTGCCTATAACAGCTTGGAATGATGGTTAAGTTTTTCCTGTAACTTTTTTTTTTTTTTTTTTTTTTTTTTTTTTTTTTTTACTTTGTAAGTGAACCTAGCAACCCCAAATTTCTCTATATTGAATCTTTTTTTTTTTTTAAACTGTGCTCTCAATCTTCCATTCTGAATCCATATGAAACATCAAGTTTTCAGCTTCTAAGTCTAAGACTGTAGCACATGTACAGCTGATGTCATATGCTTTCAACAAAGGGAATTTAGTAATTTTAAACACAGGTATTCAGGAATGGTTTGACACCCAAGAATAGAAACTTATATAACCACTTAAAAATGTAAGGTCTAACATTTCAAAATGAAATTAAGAGCTTAACTTCTAGGATATTTTAAGGGGGGGAGAAAAGGGAAGGCATCAGCCCCCTCAGTTGTCAGCCAAAGAACTATGAAAGTTACCAGTTTCCTCTTTTTAGCAAGGTTGTATAACTACAAAATATCACAAAATGAAACATATAAAGCTTTACATATGATAAAAGCTCATATAGGTACTGGTTGGCTGTAGGTTACACCAATTCTTCAGTTACAAAAAGTAACCCTTTAATCATCAGCCAAGCATAGCAATTCCTTCCTGGTCAACACTACTCCCGTCACACAACACACACAAACTAATCTGCAGGCTACAACAGCATGAGGAAGCAGAGGCCATGTGTGCTAGTATGTTCCTGCCCGATTCCCTGCAGTAACATTTCTTACAGAACTTGCAGATTTTACTCTGTCAGCTCTTATAGCATGTTAGCACCCACATCTAATAGTGTGCCTATTTTGCGTAGTTAATGACAAGGCCATCTTAGGAGTTCAGTTGTTTGGCACAATATGAATATTCATATCAGTCCTGCAAAACAGGATTTTGTTCCTCACGTTCAACTACAGTTGACCACATTCCAGAAGACTCCACATCTGACTAACCTTACTGAACAAACTTTGCAGCTTTTAGCAAGTAGGAGGGAAAGCAGCAATACAAGTATGAGGTATTCTAAAAAAAGACAGAGACCTAAGTACTGCTAACCAGCTATTTCTCCTTCTGCCCTAGAATTTTCCCCCATACTCCTAGTTCCCCTAAATACACAACAAATAATCCACTCAGGCAAACTGAGAATAATCTGTGAAAAAAAAAAAATCCCCTTAGCTCCAAGGTAACTAGGGTTGCAGTCTACAGCCCCTGTGCACAGACCAAGTGCAAAGGTAGCTATCCAACATATATAAATATCCTAAATTTACATAAGTTTGGGACATCCTAAATTTACACATATTGGATAGGTACCTCTGCACTTGGTTCGTGCACAGGGACTAAACCCTGAGCTCCGGACTGGGCCATATGGCAGGTAGTTGACAATTGCTATGCTACCACAACATGTACTTTATCCAAGCCAAAAAGCTGAGAAGCAATTGTTCTCCCAAATACACGAGATTTAAAAAGGTACTGAAACCAATTTCTTAGTCTCATTGTATCTCAGTGTTTCACATCTACAAACAGATAAGTTTATTGCGTCTTTTATTGTACAATGATATTCTGTATGAACATTTCCTGTGTTAGAACAATTCTCCATATTAACTATGCATACTGATTCAATACTTCTGTTGCCCCTAGCAAGTTTTTCCCTCAATAGCTTTTGGCATTTTACTATAGCTGCATAATACATTTAAACTGGAGATCATACTAGAACCTCTACTGATACCAGTCACAATTCCTTATTGCCTTTCACCATCTCCAATTGCTTGCAAATTATATTTATTCCAGTAGCATTTACAAGTTACATTTGGTGTTCCATTGCTCCTGTATTCATTATCCAATAATGTTTTAAAAATGTCATGCTGCTAACAATACCCATGTAATTTTACAGGGACCACCATACTTACTTTGACAATTAAAAAGACACATTCCATGTGTGAGCCCACACCCTGGGGATACCACACTGTCTAGTATTCTAAATTAG